CCAAAAACAAATGCTAAGTTGTTTCGAGGTCCCTCTGACCCTACCTGATGTATGTGGCTGAGCCCAGAGGGAGCCCTCTGCTGGGCATCCAGCTCAGTGTATCTGACATACAAGGAAAACAGCTCCCAAGCCCAAAGTTGGCCTCATGGTGCTCAGGCATCTCTACCCTGAAGGGTACTACTACACAGAGAGGATAAAATCTTTTCCTTTGCCGGGTGTGGTGTCGCACGCCTTTAATCCCAGCACTTGGGAGGCAGAGGCAGGCAGATCTTTGTGAGTTCGAGGCCAGCCTGGTCTACATAGTGAGTTCCAGGACAGCTGGGGCTACAAGGAGACCCTGTCTCAAAAAAAAAGACCCCCCCCCAAATCTTTTCCTTTGCAGTCCTGGCTTAGCCCCCAGATGTGAGGGCAGCTAAAAGCCCTGGGCTACTCAGTGCAGTGTTAAGTGGAGTCATCTTCTAGCACACTGTCACTCAAATACACAAATATTATACTATGTGACTAGAGAGAACACAGAGTGGAATACTGGGTCACTGGTTCTACCCCGGTTACAGTACTCACAGCTTCGGGTCCTCAGCCAGGTTGTCTGTCCTTCTGGTCTCATTTTCCTCATCTCTACAATGAGATAATATATCTTAGAGGGTTCCTTCAAGAGTTAAATAAGATCTTATCTGTGAAGTTTGACAAGTGTCAGGGAATAATAGATGCTTTCATTATACATATTAGTAAATGTACTGGTAGCAGGTTTCATAATGTGAACTGAGTGAGATGCTGTGGTCCTGGCATCAAAAAAGTAGTCCAGTGCATTCTAGGATCATGTCTCATAATGGTATCCATCATCCTCCTCTGACTTGGAGATAGAATGGGCCATGGTAATTAGAGATTGTAGTTAGATTGTTGTTGCTGTTGTTCTAAAGAAGAAGCCGTGAGGGACAGGGAAAGAAAAATACTCCATGTAGGCTCCAAGGCAAGCTGGACATCTTCACTAGGGACAGTTCCTGAGAGGGTCCCTACAAAGCTGCAGTCAAACCACCAGATATTGTTCCAGGCAGAAAGACTGGCACATACAAAGGACTAAGTTAGGAGTGGATTTGCATTTTAGAAAGCTGGGCTCAGAGCTGGAGAGATGGCTTGGTGGTTAAGAGCCCTGGCTGCTTTTGAAGAGGACCAGGGCTCAATTCTCAGCATCTACATGGTGGCTAACAATCATCTGTAACTCCAGTTCCAGGGAATCTGATGCCCTCTTATGGCCTCAGCAGGCACTTCATGACACAGGCATACTTCATGTACATGAAAGCAAAACACTTATACACATAAAATAAAAATTCATACTTTTTTAAAAAGCTGGATTCATCTGTTCCACCACTCATTATGGTAAAATAAGTTACAAGGCCAGCCCTAAGGGAAGAATGCACAAAAAATTTGAGATCCTATTTAGCATATTATACCCTGGAGGTGGTGGCTGGAAATGGACAGGTTTTTAGTTTTAGAGAAAGCAGAGGCAGAACTGAGACATACTGGGGAATTGTTTTCAAACACAGGAGAGAGAGAGAGAGAGAGAGAGAGAGAGAGAGAGAGAGAGAGAGCGAGAGCTACAAGTCAGCTCCCACCTCAAAAGTACCTGCAGGACACCACCTCACAGGCCCTGCGAAACTCAGAAACTCCAAGGCTGTGGCTTTCAAGCTTTATGGAGCTTTAGAATCACTAAGATGGGAATGGAGAGATTGGGAAAAGAGAGATTTTTTCTAGTAAGAAATAATTCATAAATAATTCATTAAGTCTGGAGTAGAACCAAGAGCCCACATTTCCAAGCTGGGCATGGTGGTGCAGGCCTTTAATCTCAACACTCCTGAGGCAGCAGAGGCAGATGGATCTCTGTGAGATCAGGCCAGGCTAGTCTACATAGTGAGTTCCAGGCCAGCTGGGACTACAGGGAGACCCTGTCTCAAAAAGACAAAAAAATCTGCATTTTTTTAGCATGCCATAATAAGGATACAAATGAGCTCTCTTGACTACAGGATGCTTTAACCAGTAACAACCCTTTATTAGGTGGGGCTATCAAGTCAAGGAAGAAAGAGAGAGAGAGAACAAAGTGAGAAGAAAGAGGAAAGTGAAAGAATATATTCATATTAAAGTTTGTTTTCAT